CCTGCACCCGGGATTGGGGGGAGGGCCGGTCTCAGAAGACAGGTCTGACTCACCTGCACCCCCTCAAGGTGCAGGCTCTTCAACAGTTTCCGCTGGAGGTGCCCCTTTGCCGGGAAAATGTGCATCACGGATGAGGTCTGCCCAAACCATCTCAGATTCATGATGCGTTTGATGTCGAATTTCTTTTTGCATTGTTTTGGCCTTCAGAAACCTATCCCTGTTGTTACATTTCCCACAGCCCCACATTCAGTTACGAGACCCCATATGGGTTGTGACACACACACACCCCCACCTGCACGCCCAGTTTAAGAAGCTTTGCTCTAGGGACACCTAGCGCAGTCCTGCCACACTGACAGAAGGACTGTGTGCCCCTGGGTACACAGGCAGCTTGTCCCCATCCCTGATTTCCGGAGCTCTGGGTGCCAGTCCAGCCGGCTCATTCAGGCTGTGGTGGGGGTCAGCACTGGGCTCAGCCTCTCTCTTGGGAATGGGAGGGAGACAGGAGTAGGGGCCAGCCAGCTCAGCCTGTCCTGGGCAGACAGCACCTGGGGGCCGAAGGCTGGGTCCTTGGACAGGAAGCTGCTGGGTGTGGGCTGGGCTGACCCTCCTCTGCTCTGGCCCTGCAGTACCTGGTGGACCCTGCCCAGCTGCCGTCTCGGCAGCTGCAGGTGTCCGTGTGGCATCTGGGCACACTCACCCGGCGGGTGTTTCTTGGAGAAGTGCTCCTTCCTCTGGCCACCTGGGACTTCAGAGACCGAGAGGCAAAGGCCTTCGGCTGGTACCTGCTCCAGCCCAAGGTAAGTGCGGCCTGGCCTGGGACTGGGCATTTAAGGGAATCCCACTCAACCACAGAAGTCAACCCCATTTTCAAGAGGACCCCAAAGAGTAAAGCCAGCAGAGAGGCGGGCGGGGGGGTGGGGTGGGGGGCAGGGACCTGTTTTGTAAGACACTTCAGGTGGAACTTTGTAAGCACGAGGGGGCTTCCCAAAGGGGCTTTTCCTGGTTGGGGCTGCAGTGTGTGGAGTCACTCAGACGCTGAGTGCTCCCATGTGGCAGTCGAACTGCCCCATCGGGTCTCCTGGCCTGCCATCCTTCCCGAAGCAACCTCCACCTCCACGCCGCTCATCCACAGAGCAGCTCAGGGATTTGAACCACTGTCCTTGGGTTAGCAGCCAAGGGCTTCTTGGGTGGGGCTAGGTCCAGGATACTTTTTAACCTGCTCAGGCTTGTTGAAGCCCTTTATTGCCTCCTGCCCTCCTCCCCCCACTCCCCACCCCCGGCCCCGGGGCAGCACATGGGGTGGGGGTGGGGTGGAGTGGGGCGCTGGACCTCTGTGGGCACAGAGACCCCTGATTGACTATGGTCTGTCACACCGTCACTGGCCTGCCCGGGTTAGAATGAATGTGCCCTTGCTTCCAACTCTTGTCCCAGGTGCCTAATCCTGGGCACACATGGAGTCCTGGGCATCAGGGCTCTTGGGCAGGGCTTTGCAGCAATAGGGATGGCAGGCCGACCGGGCAGGGCAGGCGGGCCCGGCAGGAGAAAGGGACTGTGGGTCGGTGGTATTTGAACCAGGTGAGCGGGGCAGGGGGGCAGGTTTGCAGACCGAGGCCTACAGCCAGGGTAGGCACCCTTGGGAGAGCCATGATAGAAGGCTGTCAGCTCTGGACACTGCTAGGTGTCCCCAGCAAAGTACTCGCAGCAGGCCACTCCAAGATCACCCATGTCCCCTTGCTTCTTGGAGGCGAGTCATGGTACCTCATGTGCTCCCTGCCTGGTCTTTCTATGACCCTGTGACCCTGGATCTGGTCAAGAGGCCCCGGCGCCAGCTCCTAACTCCGTCTGTGCTCCGTCCACCACCGGGACCCTCTTCTAGCAGGGTCTGGCCTCCCCATCCAACAGCGTCTCTCTCAGGGCCCGGGGCTCAGGGTCCGGCACGATGTCTTCCCACTAAGCCCTTGTGGGGTAGAGCAGGGCACCTGCCGGATGGCCTGGACACCAGGAGAGCTGGTCCAGTCTGAGAGGAGAGACTTGTTCTGGGGGCTGGTACCCTCCCTTAACATGGGGCATTGACCCCATCGATGCCCCCCCACTGCAGGAAAAGGGCAGACCTGGCTCTGCCTGCCACTGTAGGGTCCCCCTGGGCCTAGCGCTCCTATCCCTGTGCTGTGGCTTCGATAGAGCATCCACTGCTCTCGGCCACCTGGCTGCCCGTTGTCTGTGGCACTGCCCCTTGGCTGCCCTGTGGCCTCAAGAAGCGTCTCTTCCTGGCTGCCCTCCTGGACGCCCTGACCTGTGCTGCCCTGTTGCCAGCCATCCGGAAGAGTCCAGGGACTGAACGAAGCCCCCTCTCTCTGTCCTTAGCACTCAGCACCAGGCCAGGGGAAAGATGGGCACCTCGGGGGAGCAGGCAGGGAGGGAGAGAGGGCCTAAAGTCCACAGGCGGCCCCAGCTGATGGCCATGAGCCCTGTGGCCCAGCGGGGCTTGCATCCAGGTCTCCCGGCCGGCAGAGGTGGGCTTAGGGCCTTAGTGTGTCATTTCTAGGGGGAGTGCTCTCAGCTCAGTCAGGGTCTGAGGGCTGGGCCAAGGGGGTGCAGTCTGGGTGGGGGTGAGGGGATAGGGCACTGCCGCCCACTAAGTAGCCTTAGAGTAAGCCCAAGCCGTCACCTGGGGGGTGGACTCACTGCCAGGGCACTGGAAATCTTCCCAGGCCCTGCCCCCAGTAGGTGGAAGGATAATTCCATTCCAGGCCTGCCTTCTGTAGATTCTGGCAAAGTCACTGCTGACCAGAGCAGCCACCTTTGCAGGCCGGCAGGACCAGGGCAGTGGCCCTGGCCAGTCTGTGGTCCTCTTGCACCCCTGGTCAGCAGCTTCCTGGCAGAAAGAGTGCCTCTGCCCACATTGGCTGGGGTCGGGGTGATCGGGCCATGGATGTACCTTCTTCCTCCAATGGGGGTCCTTTCCTCTGCTGAGTCCTCCCTCGGGTGGCCCCTCCCTCTGGTGGGGCCTGTTGCCTGGCGTGCGTGTGGGGATGGCTGAACAGTGTCTGTTTTAAGAATGAAATTTTACAAATGGAAGGCCGGAGAAGTCTTCCGTGTCCCTGTCCCCTCCACTCATGGCTTTGCCGGGCTGCAGGGGCTTTGGGAGTGGGTGTCTGTGCCGAGGCCGAGGCCGAGGCCAAGGCACCAGAGCCTCTGGGCTGGCCCATCCCTCTGAGCCACCTTCTGCCCCCAGGCAGAAAAGCGTGAAGACAGCAGCCCGCAGAACAGTGGAGAACTGGCCATCCGGGCCAGACTGGTCCTCCCCTCGGGTGCTCCGGAAGGTAGGTGCTCCCTCTGGCCATTTCTTGGGGGGTAGGGAGAGGTAGGTTTGAGGGGGCAGAGCTGGGGGGGCATAACCAGTGGGGGTACTCAATAATTTAACACCTGGTTGGCTGCCCCAATGATCATTCTGAGTTTTAAAAAACTCAACATACAGAACGGTAGTTCATTATTTCATATGGTTAATACTTAAATAAGAGCAAGAGAAGAGATTGTGTTATCAGAGTTTTAAAATAGTAGTGGACAAGTATCGGTAATACCTGGCCAAAAACACAACCCCAATAAACCTGTTTAGATATTTCCATGTTGCTTCTTGGTGGGTGTCCTGACGTGATATTCCACACTCTTCTGACAAGCTCCGTTCCGCCTAATTTTTTCATACCCATGGGGGAAATGAACATGAATACAGGTGCTTAGAATACGCCGTTCTGTAGATGAATGTTAAAAAAGAGTAAGGGATGTACATTTGTGATGTCCACATCGGGCGGCTACCCAGCCGCCCACCGTAGGGAGCGCCCAGTTTATAAGAGCCATTTTCACTACCGATTCCCCAAACTCAATGAAAAATGAGGTACCAGTTCTGCTGAACCGGTACGAGTGGGTTGAATCCCACCATAGAGGCTGAGGCTGTTGCTCTTGGGACGAGAGCCCAGACCCACCTCTCGGGGCAGTGCAGACAAGCTGGGTCATGAGGACCCAGTGAGCCGCACAAGGTGAGGGGACCCACTCGGCTCAGCGTGACCCTATCCCGTCCCAGGTGCGCTGTTGTCCAGTGAGAAACGGGGACCGAGGGGGCCAGGTCCTTGAGACCTTACAGGAGACTCAACCAGTAAAGCCAACTGCTGTCCAGTCAACTCCAGCTGGGCTCCCTCAGGGTTTCAGCTGTGGATGGTCAGGCCTTTCCTCTGGGGCACTGTGGGTGGGCTTGAACCGCCAACTCTTTGGTTCACAGCTGACCGAACTCATTAACTGTTGGCACCGCCCAGAGCACCAGCAGGTGCCGTCACTGACTTCTATGATGGGGAGAGCGGGCGCAGGGAGACCCGGGGCCGAGGGTGAAGATGGTGAGCAGACGCAATCCCTTAAGGATTTTGGTGATTTGCTCGACAGCAAGAAATACAGGCTGGGTCTCTGCTCTCCTTGGGTCCCTTTGAAGCCACTGGTTCCCCGGGAAGTTGCAGTTGCCACCTGCCACCCTGCTAGGCTGGTGCACCAGGTGTGTATTGGGGTAGGACAGGCACCTCTTTCCAGCCTGCTCTCGGGAACTGAAGGCCAGTCCTCGGTCTCGAGGTCAGACCGGGCCTGGGAGTGGCGTCGGACACTGACGCATCCCTGGAGATGACTCGTGGTGAATGTTGGCTCTCCTTCCAGGAACAGGGAACCAGCAATCGCTTCATGGCCAGCTCTGTCTCGTGGTGCTGGGAGCCAAGAACTTACCTGTGCGGTCCGATGGTACCGTGAACTCGTTCGTTAAGGGGTAGGTACTCGAGCCAATCAAATAATCATCAAGCCACGTTGCTATCACGTTGCCTCTGACTCATCATGGTGGCACCGTTGTGTGTGTATATCTGTGCATGTGTCTGTTTGTCCGTGTGTGTCTGGATCTGTGTGTGTGTGTCCCTGTGCGTGTGTGCATGAGTGTGTCGGTATGTGCGTCCCTGTGTGTGCCCACGCGCACGTGTGTGAGATTGTGGATCTGTGCTTGCTCTCAAGGGCTCTTCAGCGTGAGCTTTTGGAAACTGCTCCCCAGACCTTTCTTCCAAGGTACCTCTGGGTCGATTCAAACCTCCAACCATTTGGTTAGGGGTCAAGTTTGTCGACTGTTTGGTTAGCAGTTCGGTCCACCAATTGTTCTGACTGGCCCAGGACGATGTCCTGCTGATGGTGGGGACCTTGGACGGTGGGACACACCAGCAGGCCTCCAGTGTCCACGTCACTGTAGCCGAGCTCAGCTTCAGGAGCCCCGTGGTGGCAGCGGCGGTGGCGTAACGAGTCGGGCTGCCAACTACAAGGGCAGCAGTTGGCAACCACCAGCCGCCCCTCAGGACAAAGACGAGGGTTCCTACTCCCGCAGTCACGCCCTCAGAAACCACCAGGGCGGTTTCACCCTGGCCTGCAGGGCTGCTAGGATGCCGCGTGAGCTCGGTGGCAGGGAGCTTGGGGGTTTTTTGAGCTCGGCTTACCCATGAAAGCCCAGTGTCCTGACTCCCAGTGACTCTGTAGGACAGGGTAGAACTGTCCCCGTGGGTTCCCGAGTGTGACTCTCCGCGGGGTTCGGAAGCTGTGAATCTTCACCGGAGTAGAAAGCCTCATCTTTTTCCTGCATAGCAGCGGCTAGGTTGGAACTGCTGACCTTGTGGATAGCAGCCCAACACCTAACTACGTCACCAGGGCTCCTAACATCACCTGCATTAAAGGCCCCAATTCTCCCTGCATCCCAGGGGTGTGGATGTGCCGAAGCTTCGTTTGGAAGGCCTGTACTTTAACTTGAAACGCAATTCTCGCCGGCCTCGTCATGTCTGCCCCTCAGTTTTAAACTCAATCATGATGCCAGGGCTGTGTCTTAACGGCTTCCGTAGCTAACAGCTCTCAGGTGGTCACACAGTCATTCTGACCCAGGACCCGTGTACTGGTGTCATCACTGCGTTCACCTGCCCTCCCTCCCCTCCCCGCAGGCAGGCAGGCACATAAAGGGGGGAGCAGGGCCTACTTTGGTGTCCAGTTAGAATGGGCACTGTGGCCTCTGTGCCCGCCTGGCCCCCGCCCCCGCCCAGCCGCTGGTTATCTGCGTGGCCTTAGACAAGTTCCTTAGTCTTCCGCACTCCTCGCTGGGAGAGCAGAGTTGCAAGGCAATAGAGCAGGTACACGCAGTGTAGGGGACTGGGCACAGCTCTCCCGGTGGAGACAGACCCAGGAGAGATGAGAACCCTGGCCCAGTGTCCCCAGAATATCTCCCGAACCTTAAGGCCAGTCTAGAAATAAACCTGCAACACGTTATTTTAGCGGGGGAGGGGGGGGG